TTTATTTGCGACATGTTATATATACTCGACGACAATGTATAAATTAGATAAAATCTTTTGTTAATATTAATGTCTAGATTGTGACCTTTTTTTATAAAGGAATTGATATGTTTTCTTAAGGATTTGATGGATATTTGGGGGATTTATTTCATGTTGTTATTTGAAAACTATGGAGGTTTTTAAAGGTGAATCTGGTTGTCTAGAAAAAGTAAAAATTGTTACTGTTAACATATTTTGATAGACAAAACAAATTGGTTTAAACTTTAAATACAAAATATATATTTATCTGCAGCCATTACTTTTTAAATCTTACAAGATCTGTGGTCTTGAACTTGTGCAAGTGCAGATTCTAAATTCGAATAGAGTACTTCAGAGAGAGAGAGAGATCGAACGGGACAAAATCTAGACTATAAATCGGATGTGGCCAAGTGTCATCATGGTAAAATATTACGCTTCCATTGCATTTCTGGTCGTTTTCCGACCAATACTTGCTTCAAAAGAATCGTTTCTATACGATGTGCATTCCCTATAGTGAGGACGTTGGAAAAAAACAAAATATTATCTGTCTCTGCCCTGCTTTGTTTGAAATCAGGACGGATTCAAGTATAATATAATATAGTGGATCTATTGAAGTCTTTCGTTGGTTTGGCTCAATTCTATAGCGAATGTGGTCATATAAATCTGTTTCGGGTAACACAATGATACGAGCTCATGGATTTGTGTGTTCGGCCCATAGCTCAGATTACTTTTATCACCTAATCATACCATATCTATCGTTAGCGAATGATTTATTTTATAAGGTTGCAAATTTTGCTAATAAGTCAAAATACAAATCGGATTGCAAGCGGAATTTCATGAACATATTCTAAGACAAAGTTTAAAACATCTCATGATAAACTAATATTCAAAGTAGAATCAAAAACACAATTTGTCACATGTACCAATTTTTTGCCATTAACTGTATACAGAAGCTATTTTGATTTTTTTATGTATTTAAAAATCAACGATGATTAATTTGATTCTTCATTTAATATTTAATCTCTGGATGTTTCGAATTAAGTAGTAGTATTTATAATTAGTTTGTTTGTCTGTCTATAATAAATATTTATAAATAAAGTAGTTAATTTAAAGTCGTATGGTGTGAAGAATTGTGGTTTGGATATGGATTTCTCAATACAAATATGCAAAACACTTAAAACATATAATTATTAACAGATACACAGAATTACATACATTAAATACAGATAAATAAATAATAATTTTAATGACAGCACTAAAACAAAATGCAGCTTAAGTAAGTTGTTCATTTATACCCGAAATAATGTTGATTTTATTCATAATCAGGCATGGAAAATTCTGTACTAAAGTACTTTTTTCAGTACTTTTTGATATCGGTAAATTTTCTAACTAATAAACTTTTGATAAGTAGTTCATATAGTAGTCTATAGTCTAGTCTATAGTCTAGTCTATAGTCTAGTCTATAGTCTAGTCTATAGTCTAGTCTATAGTCTAGTCTAGTCTAGTCTAGTCTAGTCTATAGTCTAGTCTATAGTCTAGTCTATAGTCTAGTCTATAGTCTAGTCTAGTCTAGTCTATAGTCTAGTCTATAGTCTAGTCTATAGTCTAGTCTATAGTCTAGTCTATAGTCTAGTCTAGTCTATAGTCTAGTCTATAGTCTAGTCTATAGTCTAGTCTATAGTCTAGTCTATAGTCTAGTCTATAGTCTAGTCTATAGTCTAGTCTATAGTCTAGTCTAGTCTAGTCTATAGTCTAGTCTATAGTCTAGTCTATAGTCTAGTCTATAGTCTAGTCTATAGTCTAGTCTATAGTCTAGTCTATAGTCTAGTCTATAGTCTAGTCTATAGTCTAGTCTATAGTCTAGTCTATAGTCTAGTCTATAAGTCTAGTCTATAGTCTAGTCTATAGTCTAGTCTATAGTCTAGTCTATAGTCTAGTCTATAGTCTAGTCTATAGTCTAGTCCATAGTCTAGTCTATAGTCTAGTCTAGTCTAGTCTATAGTCTAGTCTATAGTCTAGTCTATAGTCTAGTCTATAGTCTAGTCTATAGTCTAGTCTATAGTCTAGTCTATAGTCTAGTCTATAGTCTAGTCTAGTCTATAGTCTAGTCTAGTCTATAGTCTAGTCTATAGTCTAGTCTATAGTCTAGTCCATAGTCTAGTCTATAGTCTAGTCTATAGTCTAGTCTATAGTCTAGTCTATATTCTAGTCTATAGTCTAGTCTATAGTCTAGTCTATAGTCTAGTTTATAGGCTAGTTTATAGTCTAGTCTATGGTCTTGTCTATAGTTTAGTCTATTGTCTGATGGTTTGTCTGTCGGAAAACTAGTTTAGTACTTTATAACATAATAATTCTTATTTGTTTATAATTTAGTACTATTTTAAAATTTCAATTTTCCATGCCTGTCCATAATGCTTGTTGTTGTTTTTTATTACACGTACCTCAAAAAGCACCAAATTTCATTTTACAGCTCTGACATTGCAAAATCGAAATATATGAAATACATATTTATTTATCAACGCAAAAGTTAAACATTAAAGGGTTTATGTCATCAGAAAACATCATTAGCAATGATCAACATCATCATCAGCGAAATAACCACAACAACACTACACTACTCTAGCATGCTAAAGGTTTATTGTGTTTTTGGGGTTTTAGGCTTACTGGTCTGGTTTGGTCTGGTCTGGCTGGTTTGGCCACAAAAAGTAAAATTCACACTCATTCTTCTACATAAATATGTATAAACACGTACTAGCCAAACCATACTAGTAACACATTAACTGACTGAATACATACTACTACTACTATTACTACGGGAAAGTGAGTTCATCATCATTACATGTGATTCAATAATCTGACCATGTGTTTTTTGTTATTGTAACACAAAAAGATTTTTATACTTATCAGCATCAACCACCGGCATTTTAATAACGAATTACGCAGTCGTTCAAACAACTTGATTAAACCGCATTTCATCAATGCACAACAAGTGTTGGGCACTCATATTGAATCGAAACGAATGGAATAGAGTAGATACATATGTATGTTTGTTTGTTTGTTACTTACCACTGGCTGATTGGATTGTTGTTGGACTTGTGGTTTAATTTTGTTTATGACCGTACCTCCACTTCCTCTTCATCATCGAAGTTGTTGTATGACATAAATCAACCTGTTTTCATCTTCTGTCGCGTAGATGTGATGAATGATGGCTGATGAATGGTCTTGAACATGTTTATGATTCATATTGATAATTGTTTTGTGCGGTTTAAATTATAAATAATTATTAAGTAAAAGATTTGATTAGTAAAATATATATACATAACCTTAAGAAGAGGTTATTTGGCTCTGTGCCAATGTATTGTATTTGAATGCGGCAGATGTTTTAAATGTTTACTGTGGCTGCTGTATGTAGTGGAACATTTCTTGGATATACATCTTTGATGCCAACTTATTGCTAAATTCGAGAGAGTAGCTGTCTTGTCTGCTTGGGTTGGTGCTTAAGGCGCAAGGTTGTAAACGGATGTTATGCTTTTGCATCTTTAATTTTACGCAACGGAACAGTGACAGTCAGATATTAGTTAGCTCAAGTACTCGAGCGAAATACATGTACATGGTCCAGCGTCGAAATATACAAGAATTCGACTTCTGTATTGTAAATGTCGATTTGAGAGGATCTATATTCATATAGAAGATGCTGAAGTTGTACTAAGACTTTTGGCAAGTTTGAGGTTGTTTTGAATTCTAAATTGCAATGGAACCGGAATATCTACATGTGAGCATGGTTATAAAGCCCATTTTTATGCATGGATTAAATGGCCGCTAGAAAGCGAAATAAGATTAATAGCCCAGCCGATTTTTAAACTATGTTCTATAATATGGAATACGATTAAACTCTACCTCCCTCCCTCCCTGACAAAGGATTTATCCTATGAATAGTGTAAGGGTTATCTACATTCTATATAAATGAATCAAAGACTACAAAGGTAACGGATGGTATCTATAGAATAGAAGATGGAAATATTCGGATCTTTATCCGACCGTTATTATTTTTCGGCTATAAATCATTCGATTTTTCATAATCTATATATAATCTTAAGGGTTAGTTCTACAGAGTTCTTTTCTATCGACAAAATAATTGGTTCTTTGAACGAGTATAGCTCGAATTGACCCGTTTTTTTTTTTTTTTGTAAAACAACGTCTATGAACCTAAAGACGCTGATACCTTTAGCAATTTAATTTTAATGTCTTTATTAAATATTCTATTTTTAAAAGGGTGAAGGGCTTAAATACATATAAACATTTTAATTTTACAAATGCTTCCTTACACTCATTCTATTCACCTACAAACACAAAACATTAATATATGTGCAAGTAATTACATGATTACAAGATTCAAAAACACATAATTTTACTTTTTTAAACATGTTTTTGACTTTCTATGACATTTTACTAAAGGGCATATCAACTCAATCCTTCGAATTTTTGACAGTTTGATCTAAGACACATCATTCCATTTTAACATCTTTTTGCTTGTTTATGTTCATTTAACTCCATCATCATCATCATCATCAGTATTACATAACATTTATGGGTGTAACTAAAATAAAATAAAATTTGCTATGGCTTGTCTAACGCAGTTCCTTCATCAAATAAATAAAGAACACACTTGTATCTATTACAAATTTAATTGTGCTTTTGTCAAAAAGAAGAAAGTAAGAAATGTTCTTAAAATCCTTTGTTTTGTTTTCTTTATACGCTCCTTCACAAAACACTCTATCTCTTCCTACACAACTCTGTCTTTCTTTGTGTGTGTGTGTTTTATCTGTACTCTTGTGATTTTCTCATTATCCAACTTCTGCGAAAACTTAAAACTAAAAAACATGGTGTAAATTACCGTCAAAATTACCAAAATCTTGCCGCTATTCAATGTTTGTAACTAATGGAACATATACACGTCAATACGTTGTGCGTTGTGACAACAGCCAGAGGAGGAAACACAAACGATAGAACCTGTAACAGAGGAACCCATTAAATATGTGCATGTACTGAATCCCGGTGAACGCGAGTATCTCTCCCCCAATTTAATCGGTGTACAAAACATTGCAATGACATTCTTGCCACTTTCCATGAATTTCATCAACATAATCGATGCTTTTAGAGAGATTGTTAATGGGGTGCGCTATGAAATTGTGCTGAATGCTGTCAACACCGAGGACAATAATGCCGACATTATCTGTCGTTTGGTTATATTGGAGAAACCTTGGTTACGCACCGAATGGGGTGACAAAGTACGCGAATTGCAACATTCGAATTGTACAGCGGAGGCTCTTGGTGATAGCACCACTCCTGTGCCAGCCAGTGGCATCAATGATAAGTATGTTAAAAGTACGGTTTTTAATGGAGGTTCTCGTAATGAACTCTCTGATGATGAAATGAAACGTTTAGAAGATCAAATATTCTCTTCTGCCATTAGTTACAAACGTATGCCCTCGAATAAGTTTATAACACCAACCACAAGTACAAGTACCACCACAACCACAGAGAAATCGATTGTAGAAGACCAACAACAACAAGAGGAGGAGGTTGTCGATACCACCACCACCACCATAGCAACCGATAACATTGACAATAATGACCAAGAGGGTGATGAATCCAACTCATACCCGGCAACTACAGAACAAACCACAATAGTAGACGACAATGACCAGTTGGCAGTGGACACAAATCCAACTGAATTGCCTCAATATCAAATAACTTCATCATCGACCACAGCTGTACCTGAGCTAAGTGCCGATGAAATGAAATGGTTAGATGACATTTTCTCAGTTGGTGCATTAAACTTTGAAAATAATTTAAGTTCGGTGCCATCCGGTGACACAAGCTATGATAATCTACAGCAACAGGAGCAGGTAACCTTTTATACATTTTCTTGTTTTCTTTTATTTTTCTATATAAACACCATCATCATCGTCATTATCTTCTCAACATTATCGTTATTTACGTAGTATTATAATCATTGATATTATCATCTGTCCCCCCACACAGCAAGTAGCCGCAGCAGCAGCACCATTAAAGTCATTATCACTGTTATTGTTATTAGTGTTTTAGTTGTTGTTTGTGTTGTTGTTGCTGCTGCCGCTTCTTGTTTTGTTATTTTGTATGTTTTGCGAATTTCTCATAAACTACTCCCGTGTTGCTCATTATTATTTGTTGTTTAAATAATGAACATAGCAACAACAAAAACAACAACTATACTAAGGAAAATGATAAATAAATGTTAGACATTTTGTTTTCTGATACACAAGTGTACCTTAACGTAGCAGTATCATCAGGGTTGGAAAATTGAACAATGTTGAAATTTAGTTAGTTTTTTTAGTTCTTTAGACTTGTCCAGAGGGTAGTCCATAGACTAGTCTAAAGACTAGACATATATTAGTCTTTAGTATAGACTAGTGCATGGACTAGTCAATAGACTAGTGCATGGTCTAATCCATAAACTGTTCCATAGGTTAGTCCATACACTAGTACATAGGCTATTCACTACACTAGTCAATGGACAGGTCCACAGAATGGTCAACAGACTATTGCATAGACTAGTCCACACCAGTAAATAGACGAGTCCACAGTCTAGTCCATAGACTAATCCATAAAACAGTCCATAGACTAATCCATAGACCAGGCCATAGACTAATCCGTAGACTGTCCATAGGTTAGTCCATAGACTAGAGCATAGACTATTCAGTAGACTAGTCAATGGAATGGTCCACAGAACATACTTTTCCATAGACCAGTCCATAGACTAGTCCACACCTGTAAATAGACTAGTCCATAGTCTTTCCATAGATTTGTCCATAGACTGGTCCACAGAATAGACAATTCCACAGACTAGTCCAGAGTCTAGTCCATAGGCTATTCCACACCAGTAAATAGACTAGTCCAAAGTCTAGTCCATATACTAGTCCGGAGTCTAGTCCATAGACTTTCCATAGACTAACTCATAGACTAGTCCGGTGACTAGTCCATAGGCTAGCCCAGAGTCTAGTGCATAAACTAGTCCAAAGTCTGGTCAACAAACTAGTCCATATACTAGTCCATACACTAATTCATAGACTAGTTCATAGACTAGTCCATAGACTAGCGCGGACTCTAGTCCATAGACTAGTCCATAGACTAGTCAATAAACTAGTCCATATACTAGTCCATAGACAAGTCCATAGACTAGTCCAAATACTAGTCCATAAACTAGTCCAAATACTAATTCATAGACTAGTCCAAATACTAGTCCATAGACTACTCCTTAGACGAGTTCATAGGCTAGTCCATAGACTAGTGTTTAGACTAATCCACAGGTAACCTGACTGGTTCTTAATCAAGCCCATAGACTTGCCGATAGAGTGCATTGACTTGTCCATAAAATAGCTCATAAATTAGTCCATAGACTAGCACTTGATTAGTCCACAGACTAATCAATAGACAGTTAACAGACTAGGAAAACTTTTGCACTATTTCAATTTCCCAACTTTCCATACCTGATCACCATTCACTCTACTCTCCTAAGTACTTTTAGGGGAATTTGTCTCACTTAACAATTGTTAGTGTTTCTGTGTTTATAGTTTTGTCAGTCTGTTTGATTTTTCTGCACACATTTAAACCCACCCACCCACCTCCAATAGTAGGAGCAAACTCACTCACTAATTCATTGGAGTCACTCACATGAAAACATTCATTTACGTTTAGCATTTATTCTTTCATTTATTATTTCATTCGTTCGTTTATTCAGTGTTTAATTACGAAATTACTTGGGAAAACGTGTTGGTATCCATAAAGAAATTGTTATTATTGTTATTGCCGGTAATGTTGCTGTTGTTTGTGTATTTGTGTGCTTGTGTTTTGATACTGTGTTGTTGTTCATTTTGTCATTTTTGCATTAGACGTGTGTTGTTTTCTCAATTTAAAATTCACAAAAACAAGATTCATTGTTCATTCTCCTGAATTTTGAGTTGAAAGAAGAAAATTACTTTTATTTTCAAACATTTAAATGTCATTGGATGCTGATTGTATGATGATTATTTGGTATTTGTTTTTAGACGGAAGTAATCCTTAGGAGTTGTTTTCAGTTTGTGAAATATTGCTCTTGGGACCGATTGAAATTCTAAATTCAAAATCATTAATATAATTTTTGATGGACATTTTATGGAGCGTTTGAGATGAATAGGATTAATGTTTCGTTTTCTTTGTGTCCTGAGTTAGTTTAACGTTGGGGATAACGTTTTGAGGGTTTACCGAGTAATATTGACTTTGGAGCCTTGTTTCTTATTTCTTTATTTACATACAACTTTGGAAAGTTATCTGTCTGGGTAAAACTTTGACAGTTCCTATATTAAACAAATCTGGACCATAAATCCGGCTGATGTTTTCCAATGAACGGGGCATGTTCTATTCCCTCTTGTTAGTATATTCAGGCGACTTTAGAAACCCCCACAACCCATTGTTCTTGATATTTCATACGACAACTCACGTTCCCCCTCATATTTTTTGTGGTCCCTGCTCAACAGAAACTTAAAATTCAACAACCCCTTTTTTCTAATTATCAACGGTTAATTTACATTATTCTAACGGTATTACAAACACCATTTAATAATTTGTTTTCTTCCCTTCTTTATTACTTTAGCAAAACTTTACACATCAAATTAAAATAAATTTATTACAAAACTTTCGCACTTTTTAGTGATACTTACCATTTGCAAGTTGAAAACGTAACAATTTAATTACTCTAATCCCCTTTTCTTAAATTCAATCATGTGCAATATAATCCCATAAAATTGTTGCCTTTATTTACTCGTTCTTCACATCTTTCCTGGGGGTGGGGGAGAGGTAGAGAAGATTGAAAAGCACACAAACACAAGTGTCGTTGTCATCGGTAACAGAAGTAAAAGTTCTTGAAGATGAATGAGAATAAACAATATGATTTCTGTTACGTTTTTTTTTAATTTGTTTTATAAATAAGTATAAGAATGATTTCAACTACGATTATTTTTACTTTTACATAAACATATTTACATAGTTAGGACCCTGCAGTTTTGGATAATAATTTGGTACATTTTGTCGACTAGACTGAACGGAACTTAGAGGAGTTATACATGAAATAAACAGAATGTGCTTTCAGACAACATGTTTATAGTTATACAGACATTTTATGTCTGTCTTAGACATTATACTAATGTGGGCGTAGAAAGAGGCATGTCCTCCAATCAACATCAAGTTTAGCCCACAAGTTTCTTGTAAACTAGTCTCGCATCATACCTTTTTTATAATAGGTGGGCGTAAAAGTGACGTGTTTATGTTTGTACCGAGCACGTCTCTTGACTTCTCTAAAATTAGCCTGAAAGACTTTCAACCAGTTTAGCCGATAACTAATTGAACCAGTTCCGAAACCTGCAGAATATATTAAAAATACACCTACACACATCAAAAAATTGTATGTGTAAAGAAGGTTACATAGTATTTTATCCAAAATTTTACATCATTCATTCATCAGATGATGATGACTTTTTACCACCCTTGAAGAATAATCCATTTAAAAAGCATAAACAAAAACTTGTCATTTAGAAACTTTTGAAGTAGTACTTAGTTAAGGACTCACTGCTGGTGTAAATAACAAAAAAATAGGAAGAGTAGTAACTAACGGAAAGAACAACAATATATTACTACTTAACTGCTGATACGCTACGCTATAATAATAAGTCATTTTAAAGGGATATTACAGTTAGTACCTAAATTTGTATCATTTATAGAGTCCCCCCGTTAGGTTTGTAGTTAGTATTTTAGTCTGTCAGGTAGGTAGTTGTAGGTCCGATTCCCAACAGACACATTAGTAGAGGCGCACAACTAGCCCGGTGGAGGCCTAAGTATATTTCTGCCGATTTGATATCTCAAAAGGTTTTCTCAATTGGTGTTCTCAGTATTTTCATCTAGATTAAATAGACCCTTTCATTTTCCGGTTATTTATCTTGTAAATTTTAATTTTCTTTTAATTAAATTTCCGTTCTGAAATCCCTTGTATTTTAATACCAATGGTAGAGTATTATTTAAATATTCCTTATTGTTCATAAACTCCCACTATTCATGGTCCTTATGGAAGCACAATATGTGTTGTAAGTAAAGGGTTTTCCAAAAAGACAGATTATTGGAATAAAACATACTGTGGTTGTGGTATTCTTGATTTTTATTTAAACTAAAAGTGGAGTAATTTTGACGTGGTGTTACGAATATAAGATCTGTCGATCAAATTCCAAGCAAAACTGATGTGTTGTCGAAATTGGTCGTTTTTATACTTGCGCTACGATGACCTACGGTTAGATGAAAGTAAGTATATCTTCACCTGGATCTCAGCTACTAGTACGAAAATAAACTTCAATGATGTATGTCGTGATCAATTTGTAATTCTTGAGTTCAAATCACAAATACAAGAATAATTCTTACCAATTCCCATACTACGACCTGTATATTTCCAATTGTATACCCATTGCAATGTTGGTACTTCCACCTGGAACCATGATACCTTAGCGAACCACCATTGGTGTTAGAATGTTTAAGTGCTTAACGTGAACACCTATCTTGACAGGGTAGACTTGAGAACGGTCTACCAGACACTCCTCCTACATAACTGTGCCGGTCCATGTATAACACTTTGCTAAAGTACTCGACCTATCTAATCTCTTGCCATAGTAGGCCCGTTGCGGAATGACAGACAACATGGGATCAAAGAGACAATATAAGGAGAGACAACCACAACATCAGGAGAAATCAATCTTCCGGCATACCAGAAAGTGACCACCCTTTAGATGTCATGAAAGATTGCATTATTTAAAATGCAATCCCCATCAACTAATGACCCATTTCAGAGCAT